AAGAAGAAATAACTCAGCTGCGCAATAATGTTTTTCAGGAAATTTATCATGAGAGGGAGGAATATGTAAGTATTTGATTCTTTGAAGTATTACATTAGATTTTACTCTAGAAATTGAATTTAAATATCCGTTTTATGAGGTGGACTGTAATCACAGGGCTAGAGGTATTATGTAGAAAGTTTATATATATATTGATCTAGTAAGATTTTTGTAAGTTTAGAAATAAATTTCACATGACCAAATATTCTGACCATTGTACCAGTGTGGAAATAACTGAAAATTGTAATGAAGGAAAAACATCACTTGTAATATTTCCGCTCAGTGGTAACAGTAGTAATCATTGTTAACTTTTGACTTTGTCTTAGTCTTTTTTTGCTTGTTTTTAGAATTGAGATTATAGCACAGACACACTTTTGCATATTGCCTTTTTTCTGTTTAACATAAAACCTAAAGACCTTTTCCTTACACAAAATTTATATCAACATCATTTTCCCATAATGTTGCAATGTAAACATTAATGAGCAGCATAATTTAGTTGAATGTAACAAAATAAGACTACCTGGTTTTGGGGGCAGGAGAAGTTACATCTTTTAAGTCTCTATTTTACCACTGATTTTTGTGAGCTTGGGGAAATAAATCATTGTATTTTTTCTTTAAAATGGAAGAATATTGTATTTTATATTTGGGAGATGTTACCAGGAAGAAGTTAGTTAAGAAACAGCACTTTGAAAGTAAAAATACTGACCGGGCGTGGTGGCTGACACCTGTAGTCCCAGCACTTTGGGAGGCCAAGGTGGGTGGATCACTTGAGCCCAGGAGTTTGAGACCAGCCTGGGCACATGGTGAGACCCCATCTCTACAAAAAATACAACAATTAGGTACATGGTGTCATGTACCTGTAGGCCCAGCTACTTTGGAGGCTAAGGCAGGAGGATTGCTTGAGCCCAGGAGGTTGAGACTGCATTGAGCTATGATCATGCTGCTGCATTCCAGCCTGGGCAACAGAGCAAGACCCTGTCTCAAAAAAAAAAAAAAAAGTAAAAATATTAAAACTATGAAAACAATAGGTATTTTATGTGTCATGCTTTATTTAGCTAATTCATCTGAGTATATGTAAATACCTTATTGACCTTGGGTTAAAATAACTATCTTCCAGTGATTTGACAAGTGTTTAGAAGTTTTGCTTAATAAATATGTGATAAGTGGCTTTTCTTTTGTGAGGATACTCTATTTTCACATTTATTTCAAAGTTACTTATGTAGAGCTATGTATTTTTTCTCTCAGGCTTTAAAATTTTTCTCTTAACAAAACAGCTGTTATTTTAAAATGTCACTGGGTTCTTAATATTTTGAGAAATAATGACAGTTTTATGCCTCAAATTGATATATTATCAGACATTTTCATTTTAGTTTGGAAGTGGGTGAGGACTTTGACCTTGCAAGATTTGTGCTTATGTATGTATCCAAAGCTTAAAATTGGTAATTAAATTTTTCTTCAGTTAGTAAGATGGTAGTTTAGATGGGTTAAAAAAATACTTCAGCCAACTTAAATTTAAAGGAGCAATGAACAATTTGCAAATTGGACAGCCAAATCACAGCAGATTCAGAGAGACTCTGGGGATGCCTTTGTGGTTAGAACAAATTTATAGACAAAAAAAGGGAAGTGACTTACAGAAATCGGCAGCAACGTACAAGAACAACTGTATTGGTTACAGGTTGGCGTTTGCCTTATTTGAACGCAGTTTGAACACTTAGCAATCGATAAGTGGTTGAAGTATGGCCGCTGGGACTGGCAAAGACTCAGCTATTGTTACAGGTGCATACTGCTAAGTGAGATTTTCAATCTTGTCTGCCTGTTAAGCTAGGTTGCAGTTCATCCACAAGGACTCAAATATAGAAGTACAGAGTCCTTCTCAGGTCATATTTAATTTGCTTTAGCCAGACGCAAGGTGAGTCTTGGTTTTCACTTGTTATTTCTTGAAGTAGAAGGCAGAAACAGTGATTATGTATCTTACTTGGTATGTTATAATGTAGATGCTGATATATTTTCCTGAAGAGCAACATGTCAAAATTGAATATATATTGATCTACAGTTAAAAACTTTTTTTTTTTTAAAAACTTTAGGAGATGCTGACTAGTTTGGCACAGAAATGGTTCCCTGAGCTGCCTCTGCTTCATCCTGAAATAGGGTTACTCAAATACATGGTAAACTTTGTTTCCCTTGAGAATTACTACTATGCAGAGAGTGTTGAAAAGTGATAATATTAAATTTGTGTCAGTGTTAAACTTATAGTATCTTTTTAATAAAAATATTCCTGATGAATATTTTATGGGTATTAGAACTTTTTCTTATGACCCTTTAATGTTTGCATGGTATATATTTTTATTTTTATGTTAAATTGCATTATCTATTTTTCTGTTTTCCTTATCCTCATTCAGTACATTTCATTTGAATTATAGGTGTACTTATTTGAATTATAGGTGTTTATTGTTTGAAATGACAAAATAAAATTTTAACTGCTACTTCAAGAGTTAGGATAAAAACAAGATATTGCTAGCCATGAGGGATTTGAGCACAATGTGTTTTTTAAGTTAAAGCATTCTGGGAAAAAATTCCTGAGAGGTTGGCTAAAGTGGAGATGTTGAGGTGGGTATGGTTTTCTACGCAGGCAGGATTCAAAAGCTGGAGATCAGCATATTAGATAGGGGTCATATGGAGCAGGATTAGTAAACACTGGCTCTCAGGACAGAATCTGTTAGTCCTACCATGTATATTGCCTTCTACGGTGAGGGCCTAGATGAGGTATCTATTCATTAAGATTGTCATTAAGTCCATTATAATGGCTTAAATGTGGAACAGAGAGGGATATTTGTGTAGACATGTGAGTTTATTCTAAAAAATATTTAAGATTAAAGTTCCCTAACTTAAATAATTACTCTAAACTCTTTCCAGACTAGACTTTAAAATGATGTGCAGTTTTCTTTGCAACTATTTACCTCTAACTTAGCGATTATCTTACGCAGTGTGGGCAAATGAGTATGTACTGCCACATAGGACTTGAAAATTAATATTTAAAAATATGCTGATCTACTTTATTATAGAAGATTATAAAAGGTTTGACTCATGGTTTATGGAAGCCTTTAGTGGCTTTCTGAGGTTTAACTGTAATGTATACTTAGGAATTTTTTGTAGGTTGATTATATATTGTAGAATGCGTAAATGTACTGGCAAAACTTAAGAAAAAAACCCCGAAAACAATTCTACAGTGCCCCTTACTGAAACTGCACCACAGTAAAACTTAGCTTTAAAATGTTGATGATCATATTTTAGTGTGAAAAATTATTCCTTTTAAAAAGTAGCAGAAATATCTAGTAAAATTAGTTATTGAAAGCCATTTTCACTTTTGAGGACTCCAAACAGGGACAGAGGTGTTAGAATTACTTCATGGTAGTCATAATTTTTGGACTAATCTTTCCCAGTTGACAACTACAATTTTGTCATTATTTTACCTTATTTATTTTTTGTTTTTTAAAAAATGTTTATTTCAAGAGTTTTTGGGATACAGGTGTTTTGTGGTTACATGGATAAGTTCTTTAGTGGTGATTTCTGAGAGTTTAGTGCACCCATCACCTGAGCGGTGTACACTAACCTAATATATAGTCCTTCATTCCTCACCCTGCTCCCAATCAGTTGTTACTTTAGTATTTTTAGGAAACATAAGTGGTTTTTCAAGTAAACATTAGGGATCCTAGGATGCATATCTGGTTAATAATTCTATTCATTTCCTGAATCTGTTCTAAAATTATAGCAGCAATTAAATGTATGGTGATTACACTTTGGGTAGGAGGAGTTTAAGAACCAGGAATTGGAGAAAATTCAAAATTTTAAAGATTTTAATTTTATTGGTTTTTCCAGTACAGTTGATATGTCCAAGTCATTTAATAGCATGTAACTAATTATGTTTATGATTTTTAAGTGCTGGGATTGTTTGGATTCTTCAAATGTCATAAAAACTTGTGCCTAGAACTCTGGTGGCCTCCTTACAATGAGCTTGGAACGAGATCTTCTTGATGCTGAGCCCATGAAGGAACTTAGCAGCAAGCGTCCTTTGGTATGTTCTGAGGTTAATGGGCAGATAATTCTGTTAAAGGTAAGCCTAAATTGTTCTTACTTGTGGGAGATTCAGCAGCATAAAGGATAGTGGTGCTTGTTACATTTCAAGAAAGAAAAAACCTCACTGTTAGTTTTCTAAAGTATATAAGTTGACTGGCATGATAATTGTGCTTGTAGTTTGGTTGCCAGAGCTAATTTTTACTTTTAAAGTTTCCGTCAATTGAACAATGAGAACACCTGGACGCAGGGCGGGGAACATCATACATGGGGGCCTGTCGTGGGGTGGGGGGCAGGGGGAGAGATAGCATTAGGAGAAATACCTAATGTAAATGACGAGTTAATGGGTGCAGCAAACCAACATGGCATATTTATAACTATGTAACAAACTTGCACGTTGTGCACAGGTACCCTAGAACTTAAAGTATAGTAATAATAAAAAAATTATTTAAAAAGGTCATTAAATAAAGCTTTATCTCACATGAAAAAAAATCAATAAAGTTTCCCTCATTTCCCTAAATAGAATATGTCCTTAATAGGATATGCTTTCCTTTTTTTGGGTGAACTTATTATATTCATCCAATATCTTTTTAAAATTCTTCATTTTCTTACATTTCTTCTTGAAATATCAGCTGTGTTGTCAGTACAATCTTCTGCTCCTGAATTTCTTTTCATTGGTCTGGGAAACTGTTAATCATGATAATAAGATAATTAATTTGGCCTTGGTTGCTACACATTCTAGAATGTGTAGCAGGCTACAGGTAGAATTACACTTTCCTTTTCCAAATTATAGCATTCAAAGAAGATAGAAAAGTACTTATAAAGTTAAAAAATAAAATTAGATTTTATTTAACTTAATGAATTATGTTTAAATTGGAATGGTGTATAATTATAATGAGATTTTCATCTTGGAATTACCAGTGCCTCTTTTTTTGGTACAAGGGCTATTCTGTGGATGTTGACACAGAAGCCAAGGTGATTGAGAGAGCAGCCACCTACCATAGAGCTTGGAGAGAAGCTGAAGAAGAGTCAGGGTTACTACCATTGATATTCTTGTTTTTATGTAAGGTAAAGTTCTTATGCTTATCTCTTGCAGAAACCATTTTATTTAAAATAAGTTTAAACTCCAGGTTTTAGAGCAGCAGTTCATTCCCCTTAACATAAAACAAAAATTATGCTATAGAATCAATGTATGCTAAAATACGTTGAAGTTTTAACTTGGAGTCACATTCTCTGTTTTGCTTCTTAGTCCGATCCTATGGCTTACCTGATGGTCCCATACTACCCTAGGGCAAACCTGAGTACTGTTCAAACCAGCATGCCTTTAAATTCAGAAGTAAGTACAAAGCACTATTTATTTCCATGGATATATTAAATGAGAAAATAACACCTAATATTTATTCAGGGCATACTACATGCTATATACTTTGACTCATGGTATTCTATTTAATTGTCACATCAAACCTGTGATAGAAGTTATTATATGGATGAGAAAAAGGGTTAAAGGGATTAAGTGACTTGCACAGGGTCCCTTAGCCAGAGGTAGAGAGGGGACTCGAAATTGATTCCAAAGCCCAAGCTTATAACTACTAAGCTGTGCTGTATGTGAACTGCCTCATATAGCACTTGGTATTATAAGTGCTTAAGTGGCAGCTTTTATTTTTATCATTGTAAATTTAGGACTAGTAATAACAGTGAAGGAGGCCCTGATTCTTCTTATGGAGTAACACTGTTTCAGTCTCTTATAGGTACATTACATGGTTGGTATTTGTAATCCAAGTCTTCTTTGAGATAATAGAACAGGTGTCCTCAAACCCCAGGTCGCAGACTGGTACCAATCTGTGGCCTATTAAGAACAGGGTGGCACAGCAGGAAGTAAGTGGCCGGTGAGCAAGTATTACTGCCTGAGCTCAATTTCCTGTGAGATCAGTGGAGGCATTAGATTCTCATAGGAGCATAAATTCTATTGTGAACTGTGCATGTGAGGGATCTAGGTTGCACACTCCTTATGAGAATCTAATTCCTGTGATCTGAGGTGAAACCGTTTGATCCTGAAACCAACCCCCCCGCATCTGTGGAAAAATTGTCTTTCATGAAACTGGTCCCTGGTGCCCACACACACACACACACACAGTGTCGCCATTACAAAATCAAGGCTTCATCTGGTCTTTAATTCTTTCTCTATGCTGTATTCTTATTAAAGATTCATTTGGAGGAAACTTTACTCATTTCTAGAGCAGTTTTTTAATTAGAGAAAGTTTCAAGATTAAAATGATTTGCCTACTTCTTCACTTGTTTTGTGTGTGCGTATCTATAGGAAGCTTTAAAGGTCATGAAAGGTGTTGCCCAGGGCCTGTATACATTGCATAAGGCTGATATAATTCATGGATCACTTCATCAGAACAACGTATTTGCTATAAACCGTGAACAAGGAATTGTTGGAGATTTTGATTTCACCAAATCTGTGGTAAGATATCATGGTTTTACAGATAGGTTCTAGACTTTATTTAATATTATTAAGCAGTAGTTCAGCATTTATATATAATATAATACTGTATTATAGGATCTTTGCCTTCAGTTAAACTGTGTCATGTAGTATAAGCAACTGTTTGCTCTCAGCTAGGTCCTAGAATAACAAGAATTTCTAAGTTTGTTCATTGTGTATTTTAACCATAAGTCTTAGGAGCTACCTGACATTACATACTCAATGGCATTGACAACATTAATTATTTTATCATCATTAGGAAACATTTAATTGCTAGGAAACATGCAAGGAAACTAGGTGGCCATCTCCCAACCTATCTCCACTGGTGTCCCTCTGTCTATAGATACAATTTACATATACGTACTTTGCTATTTTTTGATTAATAATGTACATTTTTAGGAACCTTGGACTTTTTAGGAACCTTGGACTTTTTAGTTTAAATCCAGATTCAACTCTAATGGCTGTTAATTTGGTGTCATATTACCTCAGAATAGGCAGTTTGTAGAGATAGCAAAGATCAGACAAGAGCATGTTGTGATTTTTTGTTGTTGTTATAATGGGAACAATACTCTTAACTGAGAAATAAAAATTGCGTATATCATGTACAACATGAGGTTTTGAAGTGTGTATACAATGTGGAGTGGCCAAATCAGCAATTATTTTTCTAAAAATAGCAGCTTTATTGAGATACAATTCATGTAAAATATACAATTCAGTAATAGTTTATAGTACATTCACAAAGTTGTGCAGTGATAATCAGTATTGAATTCCAGAACATTATTATTCCCAAAAAGAAAATCCATACTGATTAGCAGTCACTCAAATTTCCCCCTTCTTCTCAAGCCTGAAAACCACTAATACACTTTCTGTCTCTATGGATTTGCCCATTTGGACATCTCATGTAAATGGAATAATACAGTACGTGGACTTTTATGCTAACTTCACTTAGCATAGTGTTTTCACAGTTCATCCACATTGTTGACTGCTTCAGAATGCCATTCTTTTTTGTTGCCAAATTATATTTTATTGTATGGCTGCACCACATTTTGTTTGTATATTCATCAGTTGCTGGACATTTGGGTGGTTAAAACTAATGGGTAAAAGAAAAAAGCCGCCAAGAACAATAACAAAAAAATTTTTTTGTGTGGACATGTTTTCATTTCTCTTGGGAGTGGAATTAACTGGGTTATATTGTTTTACTTTTTGAGGAGCAAAACTGTTTTCCAAAATGGCCACATCATTTTAAATTCTTAGCAGTAATATATAGGGATTTTGTTTTCTCTACATCCTTGCCAATATCTGTTACTATCTGAGCAATTCCCTTTAACTAGTATATGTTATAATGCTTTTATGCTTTGGTCATCTGCAAGTCATAAGGTAATGCTACTGGAGTATATGTAGTCTTAATGGTTTTCATATGGTAGCTCAAAAAGATGAGAAAATGAAACTGCAACTGTAATCAAAAGCTGGATTGTACAGGCTGTACAGGATTTATACAGATTGATTTTCTGAAATATTTACTTTATTACATTAGTTTAACTGAAAATTAAGATATCCTAAGAAATATAACTAAATTATGAATTTTAAAAGATCTCAGCTTTTAGGGATTCTGGTTAGTTTACCTTTTGAGCATACCATTCGCATAACTGTAGATATGACTACAATAATTACTCTTCTCTTTAAATACTTATTCATCCCATTATTATTCCCCAAAACATTGTTTTTAATCTTCAGTTAAAAATACTTATTCTGAAATATTGATCAAACTTACCTTTTGCTACATTTTCCATGCAATTTTTAGATTGAAGTGATCATCAGGAAGATAAATTTGAAAAGTAGTCTGAGGTCAAGATCATTGCTTTTCACACCTTATAGTGCATATGACTCACCTGGGGTTCATGTTAAAATGCAAATTACTGTTCAGCGTTTCTGCAATGGATCATCTGCATTTCTAACAAGCTACCAGTTAACGCTGTAGCTTCTGGCCCTTGGACCATACTTTGAGAAGCAAAGATCAAAATCATAGCTAGAAAAAAGATAATTAACACTTAGTGATACCTGCTAGACATTATATCTCAGGTAGACATTATTTCCATTTTACAAATTAATTTAGGCTCAAAGAGGTTTACACCTACTATGTACCCATAAAAATTAAAAATAAATTTTAAAAATGGACAAAAAAGAGGTTAAAGCCCTAGGTCACACAGCAAATAAATGGGAGAGTGGGGAATTGTAACCAAGATCTGCCTGAATCTAGGGTTCATGCTATTGTCACATCATCTTTGACATGTTAGAAATGGTATATTTAGAGAATGGTCAGTAAGGAAGGAAAGTGCTTTGTAGGATTTCAGTTCTTAAATGAATTATTTAGAATTTTCAGAATTAGAACATAGTACTGCTGCTTACTCTTGTGAAATTTATTTTTAAAAAAGAGTATCAAATATTTAATCACAGAATCAGTGATTGTTAGTATTAAATCTGTTCAAGTCTACAAAATGAATGTAAAAAAAGTCCCATAGTTATTATTTTAACACTGATTTTAAGAGCAATTTATAATAGCAGAAATTGGTAAAAATATTTGAAAGCAAGAGAATGAAATATTTAAAATGAATTTGTTTTTTTTGGTATTGATTAAATGCAGAGTACTTCACAGAAAGTCACCTCAATTGTGTTGTATCTAAAATATTTAAAATACTGTTTTTGCAGAGTCAGCGAGCCTCAGTGAACATGATGGTTGGTGACTTGAGTTTGATATCACCTGAGTTGAAAATGGGAAAACCTGCTTCTCCAAGTTCAGACTTATATGCTTATGGCTGCCTTTTATTATGGGTATGTTACTTTTTGTTGAAATAGATCATATATATATATGTATATATGTATATAATGTGATGATTTTTATAGTGATTCTCCTTAAAAAGCAGCAGACTTTTAGTAGAACTTTAAGTTTTATCAAAAACTATTGATATGCTTCCTATTACCTATTGTGTACTTTCTACAGATTGGCTTGATATATATTTTAGGTATCATGCTATTGTCTTAGTTTTGTTGAAGTCAAGATTAACAGTGAAGATGATTTTGTTCTACATTAATCTGAAAGCAGTTCATGCATATGTGGAAAATAAATATTAAATGAGTCTTGGGTATATTCCTGCTTCTACTGTAAACCAAATAGCTGTTTCTCATCCATGGTCTAAGAATTAAGAAGTTGGATGGAGCTGGAGGCCATTATCCTAAGTGAATTTACTCTGGATCAGAAAGCCAAATACTGCATGTTCTCACTTATAAGTGGGAGCTAAAAACTGAGTACACAGGGACACAAAGAAGGGACGTTGGGGTCTACTTGAGGGTTGAGGTTGGGAGAAAGGTAAGGATTGAAAAACTACCTGTTAGGCTGATTACCTGGGTGACAAAATTATCTGTACACCAGACCCCCATGACACACTGTTTACCCATGTAACAAACCTGCACATGTACCCCTTGAACCTAAGATAAACGTTGGAAGACAAAAAATAAAAAGCTTGTTTCATTTTGTACTGCTGTTTTACATAGAGAGTGCCTCTTTTTCCAAAGCCTTGAGTGTGACAAAACCTTATCTTTGTTGATCACATAAACAAAAATAATCTCCTTGTTAAAAAAACAAGAGTTAAGAGGGATTAAGTATTAAGAGAAGGAAGACTATTCTTATCAGCCCATGAGCCCGCAAACATTTTTTATAAAGGCCGGATGGTCTCTGCTGCAAGTACTGAGTTCTGCTGCTACAGCATGAAAGCAGCCATAGACGGTATGTAAACAAATCAGTGTGGTTCTCTTCCAGTAGTACTTTATTTATGGATATTGAAATTTGAATTTCATGTAGTTTGCATGTGCATGAAATAGTATTGCTTCAGTTTGCTATGAAACATTTAAAAATGTGAAAACCACCCTTGGCTTGCAGCTGTACAGAAACACGTAGTGGAATCAGTTTGGTGCAGAGGCCATAAAGTTTGCTGATTTCTGTTCTACCCAGTGTAATAAGGTCACAAAAAGAAATAAAAGTCATAGAATTTGAAAATGAAGAAATAAAGCTGTCTTTATTTGCAGATGACATGCTTAATTATGTAGAAAATCTTTGAGAATGTACATAAAAGCTACTAGAACAAATGAGTTTAGAAAGATAGCAGTTTTAATTTCAATATAATTGTGTTTTTATATAGGCCACAAATAACAGGAATTAAAATTTAAAAATCATTTACAAAAGTGTTAAAATATGGAATTTTTAGGGGTAAATTTAGCAAAAGATGTGCAAGAGTTGCACGCTATTAAAACTACAAAGCATTGTTCAGAGAACCTCAAGAATACATAAATAAATGTACAGATACACCATGCTCATGGACTAGAAGACATTGTATGGAGATCAGTTGTTCTCAGGTTGGTTTATAGATTTGATGCAATTTCAACAAATAGTAGATTTTGCTTATTTTTTCAGAAATTGACAATTAGATTTTACAATTAATATGAAAATGGAGAGGATCCACATTTGAAAAAGAAAAAAATTGAAGGACCCAGACTACCTGATTTTATAACTTAATAGATTCTAGGAAATTAAGACAGTGTGGGCCTAGAGGGGTGGCTCATGACTGTAATCCCAGCACTTAGGGAGGCTGAGGCAGGAGGATTGCTTGAGGCCAGGAGTTCAAGACTAGCCTAGGCAACACAGTGAGAACCCTCTGTCTCTACAAAAAATAAAAATTAGCTGAGTGTAGTGGTGTGTCTATGGTTCTAGCTACTTGGTAGGCTGAGGCAGAAGGATTGTTTGAGTCCAGGAGTTTAAGGCTGCAGTAAGCTATGACTGCTCCACTGTGCTCCAGCCTAGGCTACAGAGCAGGACCCTGTTTCTAAAAACAAAAGTGATACTTCTGTGAAGTTAGATGTCCAGATGAATGGAGCAGAATAGAGACAGTATAAATAGACTACACATACATGATAACTGACTTTTGACAAAGATACCAAGGCAATTCTCTGAGTGAAAGGAGACTCTTCAACAAAAATGATACAGGACAACTCATACCATATGTAGAGAATAAATTTTGATTCATTCCTTATACCATGCACAAAAATTAACTCAAAATGTATATCAGATCTAAATGTAAAGATTTCTTAAGAGGACACAGAAAACATCAACTCTAAAAGAAAAAAAATCATTTGGATTTCATCAAAATTGAAAACTTTGCTCTTCCAAAGACATTGTCACAAAAATGAAAGGCAAGTTACAGACTAGGAGAAAATATTTGAAAAACATACATCTGACAAAAATATTATATCCAGATTATCAAGAGCTCCTACGATTAATACTAAGAAGACTGCTCAGTTCAGAGATGGGCAAAATATTTAAACAGGCACTTTACCAAAGAAGGTGTCCACATGGCATGTAAGCGTGTGAAAGATGCTCTAAACACCGTTTGTCATTGTTTATGGACTTTGAGTTGTTTCTACTTTTCATCTATTACACATAAATTCTTTCAATATTTACATACAAGTCTTTGTGTGGACATATGCTTTCACTTCTCTTGGCTAAATACCTAGGAGTGGAATTGCTGGGTCGTAGGGTAGGAATATGTTCAACCTTTTAACAAACTGCCAAATATTTTTCAAAGTGGTTGTTTCCTTTACATTCTCCTGGGCAATATATGTGAGTTCTAGGTACAACACATCTAAGCAACACTTGGTATGGTCTTTTCAATTTTAGACATTATAGTGAGTAGTATAGTGGTATCTCATTTTGGCCCTTCTGCTCATTTTTTAATTGCAATGGGTGGAACTTATTTGGATTTGGATTTAAATAAACTAAAAAGGCAAACTAATTTGATACGAGATTACTCAAATTTTGAAAGCTAGGTATTTTGTATAAAAGTATTTTTCTTATGATTGTGTAAAAATAAGATTGTCTCTTAGAGATATGTACTAACATGTTTATAGGTGAAATTATGACATGCATAGGATTTGCCTCAAAGATAATATATATGGATTTGTTCATAGGGTAAGAGTAGTCATTGGCTGATGGTTGTTAGGGCTAGGGGATGAATATGTGGAACTCAGTACCTTTGTGTATGTGAAAAATTCTACATGTTTTTAAGTTAAATTTAATTAATTTATTTCTTGCATCCCTCTTATCTCTGAGGCTTTTTAAAAAAGTTTAGCTTATATTTCTCGAACACAGGTTAGATATTATGGTAGAAAGAAACTTGCCTGATTTATTTTCTTTGTACCTAATTTTTGAGTATTGGTGAGGCTAACATGATATATAGGCTACCAGGCTTTAACACATTTTCTTATAAGGTGAAGAAATATTAAAGTGTTCATAGTGTGTACATCACCTCTGATCGGTACTTTAGGAGCCCCAGGAACCATTTGGTTGCTTGTGAACAGGTAGTTACAATGAAAGTGCTTTTACCTGTAAGAGAGTTAATGTGCTTTCTTTAAGTGAACTCTTTTCTAGTCACCAGGATCTGAAGTTCCAGAGTTAACTCTTCTATAGATCAGTATATTAATACATAGGACATTTATTCATTCTTACTTTCTTTCACAGCTTTCTGTTCAAAATCAGGAGTTTGAGATAAATAAAGATGGAATCCCGAAAGTGGATCAGTTTCATTTGGTATGTGACCTTTTTGACATTTACTGCTTTGAAACACATGCAGTAATATAAACTTAGATATCTGACTGAAAGTGTCCTCCAGTTTTTCTGAAAATCCAAATTAACATTTGCAATAAATGAAGTATTGGAAAAAATTCAGGTGCCCTACTTATACCACTTAATTACTACACCAGTGTTACTCTGCTGGGTTGTATGTTTGTCACACAGATTATATAAATAATCTAACAATTAGGGCAGAATATTATTTACCATGTGTTTCAAGATCATATTAGAGTAAAATTAAATGTTTTATTAGAACTTAGTTTTTTATACATACCTAACTGTATCTTTGTCATTCACATATGTATTCAGCCAGCATATTTTGAGTAGCTATTTCTGTGACAGGAATTGAACCAGGTCCTAGGATTACAAGGATTGTGGCGTTGAGAATGAAATTAATAATTTAGAAATGTGAACAAGTAAATAACATCTATAAGTTGAGTAATTAGCAAGTACTTTGGGGGTACTCCATTTACCCTGATTTGATTTTTACACATTATATGCTTGTATTAAAGTATCTCATGTACTTCATAGTGTACCCATAAAGATTAAAAAAAAATGAAGCCCCTAAAAAAAGTACTTTGGGGGAAGCTGAATTTTAATTCTGCAAAGAAAGGAGCAATTCAGTATGACTAGATATAAAGAGGATAAATATGACAGCAGATGAGTCTATAAGAGTATAATAATCAGGCTCTGGAAGTTCTTATGCTATTTTGAGTTAGGATTACAATGAAAGAATACATATAATTTTGTTAAACTCAGTAGTTCCTTAACTTATTTGACTACAGAAATATTGTACAATACCTTCTAGTGTCCCATGAAATCATTTTAAAAAAACACATCTTAGAAGTGATATTAAGGAGCTTTGCCACACTTCTTGGGTAGTAGTAAAAAGCATTCCAGACAACTTTTGTGGGATTATAAAACTTTGTGTTACACTTCCTGATTATCTCTGTGGAAGGGGATAACAAGGTTGACTATAGTTTACAGTTTTGAAAAGGCTATGATAAAGATTTCTTGCTATTAGATAGAAAAATACCAGAAATGCTACATTAGAGGTTACAGATTCACCAAAAGTGCACATCCAGAACCCTTGCTCTTTCAGGTTTGATAGAAAAATTACCTTGTACCAAGTTATCCTGAAATTTAGCTCAAACTTAAAACTTATATTACAGTTTTGTGAGTCAGGAATCTGGACACAGCTTATTTGGGATTTCTGCTTCAGTGAATTTAAGGTTGCAGTTAAGATGTTGGCTGGGCTATAGTCGTCTTAAAGCTTGACTGGAGATGGCTATGCCTCTAACCTCACATGTTTGTTCGTAGGATTCTGTTTCTTTCAGTTTGTTAGAATGAGGACCTCAGTTCTTCTCTAGTTGTTGGCCAGAGGTTGCCCTCAATCCTTTGCCCTGTTTCCATCATGGCAGCATGTTTCATTGAAATGTATATGCAGAGAAGGCAGTGGACTCTGTTCACTAAGACAGAAGTGACAGTTTTTTATAACAAAATCGTAAAAGTGATATCCCATAGTTTTTGATAGTATTCTCTCTGTTAGAAGCAATTCTGTAGGTCCAAGAGGAAAGAATTATGTAAAGTTATGAATAACAGAAGATTGGGGTCCTGGGGCAATCTTAGAAGTCTGCCTACTCTAAGATGTAATCTGGCTGGGTGTGGTGGCTCACACCTGTAATCCCAGCATTTTGGGAGGCCGAGGTGGGCAGATCAACTGAGGTCAGGAGTTCAGGACCAGCCTGCCCAACATGGTAAAACCCTGTCTGTACTAAAAATACAAAAAAATTAGCTGGGCGTGGTGGCAGGTGCCTGTAGTCCCAGCTACTTGGGAATCTGAGGCAGGAGAATCACTTGAACCTGGGAGGCAGAGATTGCAGTGAGCTGAGATTGTGCCACTGCATTTCAGCCTGGGTGACAGAATGAGACTTTGTCTCAAAAAAATAAAAAATAAATAAAAATAATAATAATCTGCAAGTAATCATGCCTTGCTAGGCATGCTGCTAGGTATATGTATAATTGTATAATAAAAGTGAATGTAAATACACAGTCCCTGTTTAATATGGGTAGCTACTCATGGATTCAAGGATTGTGGCATTTAAAATGAAATTAATAATTTAGAAATTTGAACAAGCAAGATTTATAAATTGAGTAATAAGCAAGTTCAAATTATAAGAATCTTGACTTGTATAGTATCTGCTTCTGTGATCTGAGTCAGTTATTAGTGCTTGGGAATGGGATTACCTTTATCTACATTTTGTGATCACACACAGCTGCAAAACAAGTCAAGGCTCTGTAGTCAGCACCACCTGTCTCTTATACACATCTAGATGTGTATAAGAGACAGGGATTACCTTTATCTACATTTTGTGATCACACACAGCTGCAAAACAAGTCAAGGCTCTGTAGTCAGCACATTACAGATACCATACCACAGATGGAGAAGAATATAAATTCATGGAACCATGTAGTTGAGAGAGTTATTAGAGGATAATTAATACACCATTCCCATCCTTCAGAATCCCTCCAGTAATACCCCCAACAGATGGCCCTCAGCCTCTGCTGAAGTACAGTAATGCCGATTTTGGTAGTTTGTGTCTAAAAGTTGGTCTATTCCATTTAAGTTATCTAGCTTGTTGGCATACAGTTGTACATATTTTCTTTATAATTCTTTTTATTTCTCTGAGTTCAGTAGTGTCCCATTTTTCATTTCAGATTGTAGCAGTTTCAGTCTTCTCTCTTTTTTTCTTGGTTAGTCCAAGTAAGTTTTATCCAGTTTGTACATTTTTTTAAAATACCTAGCTTTTGGTTTTATTGATCTTTCTCTCTTGTTTTTCTGTTGTCTATTTTCTTACTTTCTAATCTTTATTATTTCTGTCCTTCTGCTTGCTTTAGGTCTAGTTTACAACATATGTTATGCAGTTATCACACCGTATAAAATTAACAAATTGTAATATTGTATTTAAATTTCCCTAATTGTCTTAAATATATTTTTAAATGGTTGCTTTTTTCAAATTAGTATGTCAACAAGATCTACCTGTATTGAGTTAATATATCTCTTAATCTCTCTTGAGCTATAAAGTTCCCCCAGACTCTTTTTCTCCATGCCATGTATTGTGTGAAAAAAAAAAATTTCATTTTTCATACTTTGGAGCTGGCTGATTGCATCCTTATGGTATTATTTCATAGTTCTCTTTTCCCCAATTGAAAAAGGTGGTAGATACAGAGGTTAATTAAATTTACATTCAGTTTTTACAGGCAGTATATTTTATGCATGATACTTTGCACATATAATTGTGTCATATGAGGGGGATCGTGGTGTTTGATTGTCACAGTAAGATTGATCAGTGTGTTCAGGCAGAAAATTTTATTTGTACAGGGGTATAGTTTTAGTTTTTCTGTTCCATTGGGTTGTTTATTCATGTTCCAGTGCTGCACTCATTTAACTAAAATAGGCTTTATAGTATCTTTTTAATACTTACAGGGCTTGTTCCTTCTTCACTGCTGTTTTGTTTTGTTTAAAAAACAAAACAAAATAACAAAGTCTGAAGTCCCAGGCTGGAGTGCAGTGGCACAATTTCAGCTCACTGCAGCCTCTGCCTCCCAGGTTCAAGTGATTCTCATGCCTCAGCCTCCCAAGTAACTGGTACTACAGTCATATGCCACCACGCCTGGCTAATTTTTGTATTTTTAGTAGAGATGGGGTTTCGTCATTTTGGCCAGGCCTGTCTCAAACTCTTGACCTCAAGTGATCCACCTGCCTCAACCTCCCAAAGTTCTGGGATTACAAGTGTGAGCCACTGCACCCGGCCCTCATTGCTATTTTTTAAATCAGCTTTCATGGCTATTCTTGGTTGTCATTCTTCTAAAACATCTTTATAATTAACTTGTTTGGTCTCAAGGAAAAAAATTATATTTTTATTGGAATAATGTAAACTTTTTAAGTTAACTTAGGGAAAATTGACTCATTTGTTATGAGACTCATTTTTGTTGAAGACCATAATAAGACTTTTGTTCCTGATCTACTTTTGCGGTTTTCAGGAGCATGTGTTATTTTCCTCATTTGGATTTTGTAATATTTAATTGTTTGCACCTAGGGAAGGTAACTATCTTTAAATGTTCTTAAAAACATATTCTGTAGAGTACAGATGTTGGCATTCATTCATTTATCAAATATTTACTGAATGTCTGCTATATTCAGATACTGTGCTACTTTCTGGAGATGAAGTGACAAACTAAAATTTCAAACCTTAAGGATCTTAGAGTGTAATGCAGACACTAGCAGTAAACAGATTTATTTATTTATTTTTTTTTTTGAGGCAGTCTTGCTCAGTTGCTGAGGCTGGAATGCAGGGGCGTGATCTCAGCCACTGGAGCCTCTGCCTCCCAGGTTCAAGTAATTCTCCTGCCTCAGCCTCCTGAGTAGCTGGGATTACTGGCATCTGCCACCATGCCCAGCTAATTTTTGTATTTTTGGTAGAGACAGAGTTTTGCCATGTTGACCAGGCTGGTCTTAAACTCCTGGCCTCAATGATCCACCCATCTTGGCCTCCCAAAGTGCCTGCCCGGCCAGCAGTAACAGATTATTTTTATTCAATGTGATATGTGCTTTGGTTGGAGTAACCATAAGAGGCAAATAAAAGGTATACCAAGATGTCTTTGCAGGTGGAAATAATGGAAAGCAACATTACAGGATTATTTACATGTTCTGACACAAATAATGTCCTTTGAAATAGAGGGATATAATAAATTCTGGCTCCCATAATGATGGTGATAATGATAGCGGCAGTAGAGGTGATCCCAGAGGGTGATCACTTAAAAACCAAAACCAGAAACAGCTGACTAGATGAAGAAGTTTACCCTTCCAGACAGAGAAGCTTCTGTGTGACATTTTAATAGTGTCAAATTCTGACCAGTATCCTGTTAAAAGAGGAAGAAAGGAAGTAATAAAATGTATTTGTTCTCATTTCACTTGTTTTTGAGAGATTTCAGCTATGATTTTTTTCCTTTTACATTTTTTCGCCATAATTCAATTCCATTGTTTCAGTACTGGAGGCATTCCATTTTACTAAAAAAGTACAGTCATCCCTCTGTATACACAGGGGTTTGGTACAGATAAAATCCACCCATACCCTTGTCCTGCAGTTGGCCCAGTGGAACCTATGCATATGAAAAATCAGCCCTTTGTATCTGTGGGTGTTGAGTCCTGAGAATACTGTGTTTTTGATCTGTTTGCTTGCAGATGTGGAAACTGCAGATAGGGAGGGCTGACTGTACTTATTTATTTCATATTGATACATAGTATTTGTACATATTTATGGGGTATATGTGATATTTTGTAATTTGTATGGAATGTGTTAATGACAAAGTCCGTATTTAGGATATCCATTATTTGATTATTTATTATTTCTATGTTTTGGGAACATACCAAGTCCTCTCTTCTGGCTATTTTGAAATATTTAATACATAGTTAAATGGAGTCACCCTACTCTGCTATCAATCACTAGTATTTATTTCTTCTATCAACCTGGTTGTTTGTACCCATTAAACAACTCTCTTCATCCCCTTCCACGTCACCCACATTCTCTTAGTCTCTGGTATTAGTCATTCAACTCTACCTTATGAGATCAACTTTTATAGCTCTGACATATGAGTGACAATATTTGATATTTGTCTTTCTGTGCCTGGCTTAGTTCACTTTACAAAATGATTATTCCATCCTTGTTGCTGAAAATGACAGAATTTAATTCCTTTTTTATGGCTGAATAGTATTCCACATTTTCTTTATATTTCTTTAATAGTGTACCAGATTGTCTTTATCCATTTGTCCATTGATGGACACTTAGGTTTAAGTCCTTACCTTTGTAATTGTGAATAGTGCTGCAATAAACATTGAGGTGCAGGTTTCATATACTGATTTCCTTTTTATTTTGGTAACTATCAAGTAGTGGGATTACTGGATTGTATGATAGTTCCATTTTTAGTTTTTTGAAAAATATTTATACTATTTTCCATCGTGGCTATACTAATTTACATTTCCACTAACAATATATAACAGTTTCCTGTTCTCCACATCTTTGTGGAGATTTTTCAAAATAGTATTTTGGTATTTTTTGTCATTTTTTAAAATAGTGGCATTCTAGCTGATGTAAAATGATACCTCATTGTGGTTTTGATTTGCATTTCCCTGATGATTAGTGATATTGAGCATTTTTCATATACTTGTTGGTCATTTGTATGCTTTCTTTTGAGAAATGTCTATTTATGTCCTTTGCCTACTTTTTAATGGGATTGTTTTCCTTGCTGAGTTTCTTGTATATTCTGGATATTAGTCCTGTGTTGGATGGATAGTTTGCAAATGTTTCCTTCCATTCAACAAATTGTTTCTTCACTCTGTTGATTATTTCCTTTGCTGTCCAGAAGCATTTTAGTTAAGTATAGTCCCATTTGTCTCTCTTTGTTTTTGTTGCCTGTGCTTTCGAGGTCTTAGCCATAAAAATCTGCCTAGACCAGTGTCATGAAGTGTTTCCCGTATGTTTTCTTCTAGTACTTTTATAGTCTTGGGTTTTACATTTAAGGCTTTAATCAATCTTGAATTGATTTTTGTATGTGGTGAGAGGTGAGGGTCCACTGTTATTCTTTTGCATATGGATATCCAATTTTCCCAGCACCATTTATTGAAGTGGGTGTCTTTTCCCCAGTGTATGTTCTTGGTGCCTTTGTGAGAAATTGGTTGGCTGTAAATATGTGGCTTTATTTCTGGGTTTTCAATTCTATTCTATAGGTGCATGTATCTTTTTCTATACTAATAAAATGCTGTGTTGGGATTGAAAGATATTTTGAAGTCAGTGTGATGCCTTCAACTTTGTTCTTTTTGCTGGTAATTGTTTTGACTATTTGTGCTCTTTTTTAGTTCTACATGAAAGTTAGGATTTTTTTCTATTTATGTGAAAAATTACATTGCTATTTTGATAGGGATTGCTTTGAATCTGTAGATTTCTTTGGGTAGTATGGGCATTTTAACAATACCAATTCTTCTGATCCAAGAGAATGGAATGTCTTTCCATTTGTTAGCATCCTCTTCAGTTTCTTTCATTGGTGTTTTGTAGTTTTCTTTGGAGAGCTCTTCCACATCCCTGTTTAAATTTCTTCCTAGGTAATATATTTATTTTATAGCTACTGTAAATGGGATTACTTTCTTGATGTCCTTCTTAGCTAGTTCCTTATTGGTTTATAGAAATGCTACCAATTTTTACATGTTGATTCTATATCCTGCAGATTTACTAGATTAATCAGATCTAAGAGCTTTTTGGTGGAGTCTTTAGGTTTTTGTAGATAGCTAAGATAGCGTCATCTGCAAAGAGGGACAATTTGACTTGCTCTTTTTCAATTTGTATTCCTTTTATTTTTCTTATCTGGTTGCTCTGACTAGAACTTCCAGGACTGTATTGAAGAGGAGTGGTGAAAGTGGAGATCCTTGTCTTGTTCCAGTTCTTTAGAGGAATGTTTTTCTTTTT